TTTTCTTTGTTAGCTTTCAGGTTCATAACATCATGTTGTTTATGAGATTTTCAACGTAAAAATTTTTCTGGCAAAAATGAAACCCTTGAAAACTTGACTTCCCAAAATGACATGGAATTCTAAAAGCAACTGCTTATTCTAAAATAATTTTGGAGTCGAATCGAACAGTTTATGGTTTCTAGGTGATTGTCTGACTACATTTAGATGCACTAAAATAGAATTGAAATTGATATTTCTGAGAAAGACCCTGGCTTTATCATTGTCATGCCGACATCAACTCCATGTACATCATGCAGCTCAATTGATGACTAAGCATTGTTTTTAATTTGCTTCTCTTGTCCACAGTGCTTGACAGAACTGAGCCATCTTTAACAGTGTTGAGATCTCCCTCCTAGATTCAAGACAGGATTTTGGTAAGTTCTTTTATTTTTTTAGAATTTCACAAATTTTGTAATGGCTCTACGTCGAGGTTTTTAGTGCAGAGCAGGTCTCAAGAATCAGCAAAACTATATCCTTTGGATTTGAGATGACATATTCATTAAAAATACAAACTGACTAGTGTCTTTCCTTTACTTATCTATACATGATTACAAACCTTCTTCTCAAAATGATTCGAAGTTGGTACTACGCAGGCATAGGTGCTTCCTTCATCATGTTGAACAGGCCTGAATAAGCAATAATTGCGACTCATAATATATGTATTGTAAAAAAAAGAACAATGATTAAACTTTCTTCCTCATAAAAATCTCTGGAGTCCGGACTTTTTTTATTCAGAGGAAAATCCCATCTTTGCAAGAAAAGTTTCAGCATTTACTCTTATGATAGAGATCTTAAATATACTCGTATCATGATTTTAACCTACTTTATATTCTTCAGAACTCAGTTTTATTTACTATCCAAACACGGTCAAAGAGGTCAAAACCACGATATCGGCACAATTTTAGTCCATTTTTATTGGAACATAATGCTGAGACTAGAAACTTTGCACTAATACAGTGATTACCCTTGCCACTAAAAAAATTTAAGAGATTCTTTGGACAGATGAGGCATGATCATTGTTCTTTTTCTTACATTACATGGGTTGCTAACTTTTCTCTGCTGCACAATACAGAGTGTCAAACAGAAGATTAGGTCATTGCAGCTAGGACCTATATGTTGCCTTTTATAAATTTTAATGACTCAGTTAAGGTGAAATAACTATAGTAAATTAACAAAAACAGTTAAACTGACTAATTTTAGGGTTGTTTTGGGATGGCTGAGGTTGAAAAATATTTTCTTTCAGTAAGTACCCCCCCCCCTTCAGAAAGCATAGGCTCCTAAAGGTCACAATTGGTCCTAGAGGTCAATATTGAATATATTATTTTAAATCATTCAATTATTTTCACCGATTTGGATTTCTTGTTCCTCTGCTATTTGTTTAGTGTGTTTGCTGCTTTATGAAACAGACTTCAAAAATAAAATGTTTCATAGGGCACTATTTTTTGCACATACTGTTATCAACGGCAGCAAAAATGCAAAACAGCTTTTAATTACTTATGACTTACAATCTGCCAATTCAGTTTCTCTACTCTCTTCTCACAAAAGTTTAGACTTTTCGCTTTTTTAAGATAGACAGAGATGACTTGAAAAGTGATTATGAAATTTTAGTAGTGCTCTTCTTGTATTCCTCAAAGAGCTCAAAGCAAACTCCTCATTACCAGGTCACAATATTAGAGATTTTTTTAATTTTTTTTTCAATTAAATGATGGGAAATGAAGCAAACTATCTAGGAAACGATACGAGAAGTTTCAAAAAATGAGGCATTGCTGCTAGGTCAAGGCATGAGGACAAGAATATGGCAAGGAGCATATGGTGCTCATTACTCACTCAAAGACCACAGAACATTAAGCGAATCTCAAAGAAAAGGACTAGATTTTGGGTGGCCTCTAGACCTCTTTCATCTGAATGGATGAGAGACGTCACCCAAGAAAATTGTCACAAACAGCTTAATTTTTTTTTAAAAAATAGAATCATGAGCCAAAGAAAATTTTAACAATGATAATGATTGAAAAAAACAAAAACAAAATTTATAATAAAATATTACAAAACTTATTTACCAATTGTGAGAATCGGTATACAAAATAACTAAAATAGTTAAAGCCAATAATGGTGAATCCAGGGTCTCTGGAACCACCTATCACCACCATTTTGATATGAATTATAATTTGTTTCATTTTAGTCAAGAGAGTGGAACCACAAGCAGTAGATATGTGTCTTTCTGACAGGAGTGTCAAAAGCGCCATTTATCTCGCCAGACTGACTTTCAGGGGTTTCTCCGTTTTTAAAATAATCATTTAATAACTAAGAAGTACAATATTTAACTTTTCGAAAAACCTCTACTGCTCACTTTTTTATTTTTTGCTACAGAAATAACTAACATGGTTATTGCAAGCGCTACAAAGTCTAAGGACAGGGTATCAAAAAAGGTGAGAAGGACAGTTGGACCGTGTTTAGCAGAAAGGAATCAAGCCAAATCAGCTATTGCCAAATTTAATTGGGCACTTCAATTTTTTACATGAAAACGGTTGAGCGGATTTTGGTGCAAATTTCAGTTAATTTTTCCCATAGTAAGATATAAATTCCTTAAAATTTTGAAAGGAATTCGCTCAAACATTTTTCTTTTTAAATATAAAATTGTCCCGTTAAATTTGGCAACAGCTGATGTGGCTCCGTTCCTTTCTGCTAAACGCAGTCCAGTGAACTAGACTTTTCTCTTCAAATTTTATCTAAATCAGATGATAATGGTGATTCTGAACATGTATTCTTTCAAGTCTCTGTTGTGTTAATGACAACCTAGACAAACTTTTTCCATTTCATAACAGTCTTATGAAGGTTAACACTCATGATATTTTAGCCAGAAGGTGACGATTTTATCGGATTTTGAAATAAAATATGTAAAGTAAAGGCAAAAAAACGGTAGAAAAAATTGCACACATTGATATGAGAAGCCAATCAATGTTTCCATTACATTTTCATCTATATTTTTTAGATATTTTACTTCAAAATTTGATTTCATGCTCATAAGACATGTGTCTACTGCTTGAGAGTTCAATTTTTTAAAAATGACTTGAATAGAACTCATCATTGATCATACATCAAAATTGTGCTTAAGTGCAAAACTATGATTCCTGGCTTAATTTTATAGTAAGTAAATTGACCCGTTGAGGTGTAGATTTTCTAGGCAAACTTCTGGCAAATGCAGCACGCAGCAAAATTTTGGTTTAAAAACACTGACCGAAGAAAAAGCTGTGAGTGATGAGGGGTGGGGATAGAAAGGAGGGATTATTTCAAAATTTAGTTGTACCTGTTTTTAGGCATACATTGGCTTCCTAAATGGCTCCACTAAAGTTTCAAAAAATTTCATGAAATTTATTGTACATAATTTCAAACATGAAATTTTTTGCAGATAAATTTCATGAAATTTTCCAACACTGGGTATCAAGGAGAGCTAAGAATAAGTATGTATTTGCTTCAGATGAAAGATGTGGAGGCATCTGGGTGTAATGAACAGGTTGTCTATACTAGACCTTATACTTGTATTTGCATATGATGGAAAAATCGAGTAAAGACTCAAAATTATAGTGAACATAGGAAGAGTTTTTAAGGACACATAGTGCACTACAAACTGCTTCAGGTATCACAGAACTGTTGCATGTTTTAATGCCACACATTGTGTAAGAAAGAGCAGTAAAAATATTTGTTGACCAGATAAAATGCCACATGACACAATCAGGTTCATATAAGTTCCAAAACTTTTCTGATAGTCAAACTACATCAACTAACTCATCGTCAGACTTACATTCATGCAGTATTCATCATAGATTTCATAACATTGAGGGGTTCTAGTTGAGAATTTGCAAGTGTCTGTTTGCTGAATTTGCTGTTTAAGTGGAGGAAACTGAGTGAAGTGAACACAAGGATACCCTTGGCTTAAAAATTGAACAATTATTGGAGGATATATGACAAAATGATTTAATCTGCTAAAATACATGAACATATTTAAATGGGAAGTGCCCCCAGCTGACATCACTAGGCAGCTTATTGTCTCACTTTTAAATATATATTAATACTACTTCCCATTTTAAAAAAAAAATTATAAAAATACTACAAAATCAGCTCTTGAAGCATTAAAATAGTTGCATGCAAAGTCTCCATTGGTGACAAGCATGAAATCGTCCATTTCATACTTTCAAGATAAGAGAATGTAAATGATCACAGAAAATGCATACTTTGAGGCCAAGATTAATTGACTCATGAGATAAATTTAATATTAGAATATCTTTGGAAGCCTCGAGCAGAGAAAAATGACATTTCTTCATCCCAAAAGAAAAAGTTTTTTTTTCGGCTCTAAATATTTTATCATTAGGAGAAATTAAATTTAACAGAACAAAATCAAATCAAACATTTACATTGAAATGGAATCATTTGAACACACTTATTAGAGGCGATAAGTGAGGATGACTCTGCTTATTGCTTCAAATTTGACCTTCAATAATTTTCTCTCCCGCTTCTGGTCATCAACACCCTTCTAACCATTTCAACTGAATATTAACTTCATTGATTAATGTTGAAACCCTAGAAATAGTCTTCACTTCATATAATACCTAAACAATAATGACCGATTTCCTGTTGCTCCTTTGAACAGGTTGAAACAACTAGAATGACAATCAGACTTTAAATATACAATAGATATCATCAGATATAACCTGGGTAGTTGCAGTTTTGAAGCTCTTTTTTCAATAGTAGATAATATAGTAAGATTTTTCGACAAACGAGGACTTGCGCGAAAGTGAATACAAAACAAGAACAGGATTTCCTTGCCACACGAAGCTTCAAATGCAAAATTTTTACAAGATACAAGAAATGAAACAAAGGAAAAATTGGAAAAGTCAAAACAAATTGAGAAAAACACTACAAAGAGTTGAATACAAATAAAGAGGAAAAGGCAGAGAGTTAAATACCTGGACTGGTTCTCTTCAGGAATGGTATTATTTTGATAGTAAGATGAGGATTGTTGAAACTGATTTCCTGTGCGAGTGTGGCGCCCACTACGTGTACCACGGTTGAAATTTCCTCTGAAGTGAGAGTTACGGAAGGATTTCTCACGACCGTAAGGGGGATCATTGAAAGAATCATTGTAAGGTGGGGGTGAGCGATCTCTATACGATTGTGCTTTGTGCCTGAAACAAAGACATGACAAATAAGAGAGGATTGGAATGGAAATATTTTCATAAAATCGAGACAGAAAGAACCCTTATTTGCGACAGAAATTCCTAGATCAATTTCTTTTTTTGGAATGAATTTTTTCGATTTTCAATTTTGCAAGTGAGCGATTATTGCAAGTGTGAGCCATGGAATGGCTTCTTTGGGGACTTGATCAATGATTTGTAGACAACTGCTCGCTTAAAGGCTTTCTTCCTGTTAAAATTAAAAGTTTAAGTTTTAGTGCAGCTTGAATATAGTTTTTATGAAAATTGATGCAACTGCTAACTTATTTTATCAAAATACAGAACAAGATTAGGCATTGGAAAATAAAAATAAGACACCAAGAGCTATGCTCGGAGCAGAGACTCCTAAGAAAAACTGAAAAACTACCTAGGAAAGATTTAAAAGTAAAATTATAACTCATTTAGTGCAATTATAATTCAAGTTTTTGAAGTTCAAGCTTGGCAGCAAGACTTCTGGATGACCGTTACCAAAATTGTGCAACTCTATGCCCTCTATCAATAGAGGAAAAATTTCCTGCAGGAGATCTTCTCTACTGAGGTTTAAAATGAATTGGCTAGAAACGGATGAAACAAATTGATGAAATACCTTAAAGAGTACGGAGAAAGTGAATTTTCTCGCTTCGGCTTCAAAGGTCTGGGAGAATACTTCCGAGAGGTAGGAGATCTGCTTCGTGATCTGAAAAAAAACAAAATTTACGTTGAAGATTTCATAGAATCAATCCCTTCAGTGATGATAAAATGAGACAGTAAAACAGTCAAGCATTGGTCAATACTTCGGAAAACACGTGATTGGATACACTTCAAATTCTTAAAACTTTGAGATGTTATTCAAAATGTTCTAGTGTTTTCTGTTTGTGTTAGTCAGCATTTTTCAAAAAATGGTTAGATGACCATTAAAATACAGGGAGAGGTGTGCATTAATTTAACTAAAAAAGATGCAATTTTTGGGCATGAACAAAAAACACTGTATGATCAAACCAGCTATATAATGCCGATGTTTGATCTGAGCCAGAGATTCGCTAAAATCTCTTTAGCAAAACAAATACCTGGTTGGACGAATCCAACCATATTTTAATTTAAAATTACTCTGGCTGTCTATTATCAGCGGATAGAAATTCACATGCCGATATTCTGTGTTTTAGTGATTGTTGCAGTTATTCTACTTTTTGAAGTTAGAGATATGCTTTCACCGGCCACTTTAATGAGGCGAAAATTCAACCTTGCGCTCATGATAAAACTCAACAGGATTCTTAGAAATAAAGTTACGAATAAGATTCATTACCTGCTTAAAGAAAACGAATATGATCGCGATCTAGATCGCCGGCGTTCAAAGGAGCGAGACCTGAAAAATAATGCAAGAAGAACAGATTAGCTTTAATTGTATTAAAGTATATTCATTTTTCCACTGAACATAGCATCATGGAGAAAAAACAGTCAGTAACCTGTTCATGGTGGTTGAACTCGTGTAAGAAAAAAGTATCTTCGGGACTATTGATTTAACCTCTACTTTAGAAAAAAAAAACAAACAAACCTTAAAGACCTCCTGACGAGAAATTGCACTTACAGTGAAACCTCGCTAAGTCGGAACGCATCGGGCCGACGGAAATTTTCCGACTTAGCGGGGTTTTCGACTTTAAGGGAATCCCTCTTTTTCTAATTTAAATTTTCGAATTTCGCGCTCTAGTTTGGACAAAACGTTTTTAGATGCTTTTCGCTTGCACGGGGGCGTCAGTTTAGAGTGTAATGCAACTGTTAAGCTCAATTCAGTCAATTACTTGCGTTAAATATTTATTTGAAGAGTCAGCGCAAAAATGTTGGAACTCATTAACGTTACGTCCTTGGATGAGCAAAAATCCTTACGGACGAGCGCTGCCCAGAGAGTATAGAAGGCGACTGGATAGGGAAGAATTGAAACAGAAGTTGGAGCCGTGAGCAAGCAGTTGCGTACGTTGGCGCGAGAGTGCGCGGCGAGCGGAATCCCATACCGCTGCGCTGATTGGCTAAGGGGGAGAGAGACAGGAGGGAGGGAGGGAGAAAGACAACAACTGCAGCATTCCCTCTCCCCTCTTCTTTTGTGTTAGGGAGGGAGGGAGTGTGGCAAGATCGCTTGCTCGCTCTCTTCTCAATTGCAGCCGTTCTGGCCAGGTTCTGGCGGTGAGGAGCGCACGTCCATTGGTAGCTATCGAAGAAGAATTCTCGCTAAATAAAAAAGGAATTTTTTTTTTTTTTCATGAAAAAAATCGACCATTTTACGAGTAGAAAAGGTTATTTTTTGAGGTCGGGACTGAAAAAAAATCCGAGATGACGGGAATCCGAGTTACGGGAATCCGACTTAACCCGAATTTCTTAGCATTGTTTTATATGGGCGACGAACGGGACCGCACGAAAATTCCGACATAACGGGGTTTCCGACTTAAACGATCTCCGACTTAGCGAGGTTTCACTGTACTTAAAATATTAAGCTTTAAGGGACTTATATGAAGGTAATGATAAAAGAATGATTCATGGCTAACTTGAAATCACCTCTTCTTGCCAAGGAATGTTTTCTAAGAGCAGACTATCTTGAGAACAAAGGACGGATTTCTGTAAATGGTTCTAGGTAAAAAAGTTACATGGCAATTGCAAACCATTGATGAGATATAGCAAAATCTTGATAAGTCAACATGCAACCCAACTTTAATTGGCGATTTTGTCCGCCTTACCCTGAGACCGATTAGATTGCTTCTGGGAGAAAATTAAAGGGAGAGAATATTAAACTTAACCAAATTTTCCAATTGTCCATACTAAGACCTATCAAGATTTAACGAAGAAAAAAAACACTAAGAAGTGGCCCGAAACCTGTATNTATCAAGATTTAACTAGATTAACAAAAAGTCAATAAAGTAATCACCTTGACCTCCTACTGATTGGTGAACGGGTTCTCTTTCTGATTGGAGACTTCTTTTTTGGGGAGAGCTTCCTTGAGACACTTCGAGATTTCTTTGGAGATCTAGAAGCTTTCCTAGGAGATCGAGATATCCGTCTTGGTGATCGAGATTTTCTGGGGGAGCGAGAAATTTTCCTTGGGGGAATTGGGCTTTTTCTTGGAGATAGAGTGCGTTTTCTAGGAGGAAGAGAACTTTTTCTAGGAGAGCGTGACAGCTTCCTTGGTGAGCGTGAAACTTTCCGTGGTGACAGTGATCGCTTTCTCGGTGACAAGGATGACTTCCTTGGCGAGCGTGATAGTTTCCTAGGGGATCGAGAAAGTTTCCTTGGAGACCGTGAAAGCTTTCTGGGTGAGCGAGACATTCTGGGAGAAAGAGATTTCTTTCGAGGAGGTAGAGAGCCTCGTGGCGATAAAGAGCCTTTTCGAACTTCTCTAGGAGATAAAGAAATTTTTCTTGGTGAACGAGACATTTTCCTCGGAGAGCGAGAGTTTTTTCGTGGTGATCTTGACTTTTTCCTTGGGGAGCGAGACTTCTTTCTTGGAGATCTGGACTTTTTTCTTGGAGACACAGAAGATTTCCTGGGCGACCTCGAGCCTTTCCTAGGTGATCGAGACTTTTTGTGTCTGACAGGTGAGCGGGAATATGATCTTGACCTAGACCTCTTTCTGTGATGCTTCCGTTTCTTGTCTCTGGCATCTTTTTCGGCAAGATGCCTTTCAAAAGCAGCCAGTGGATCTTCATTTTCTTTCAATACAACTCTATGAAAAAGAAAAAGAGGAGAGAATTTTAGTTGAAAGATATGATAGATGCTCCTTAAATGAAAGATACCTATTTTCGTGAGCCTAAAACACAGCAATACATCAAACTTTTGGGACTTATTAAACTTTCAAACAACTTTTATCAGGGAGTTTTCTTTCAGTATATATGATCCTCTTAAAACTATGGGTAGTTTATGGGACAGCCAACATTTCTTTAAAATGAAAAAAACTTAAAAAAATCACAGACACTGGCAAAAAGTAACTATGAGACCTTTAGAATCAATATTAGGGCTGGAGACAGGTCAAAAATATAGAGAGCGTAAAAAATTCCAAAGCACCCTACTAAAGATTTTTAGAGGCCGATGAAATTTTTGGAAATAATCGATTTTCATTTCTAGAATTCAGGGTTTGAGACGCTGCCGCATCCTCAAATTCACTGCAACTGACAAAGTAATGGGCATAAGGTCTACCTAGGACTCGCATTTTTTGAAGCTATTTGGCCGGATCCAGGTGAAGCTACTTTTTCATATTGAGGATGACTCGCAGCAACTAAGATTGAAAGTTGCGTTCATCATTTCACAACTAAAATAAAACTCAAGATGCAGCTTAGAGCAGGTCATAGTTTAAATTTTGAGCTGTCTGATGAGTCCCAGAGAGGATCTTTCAGTTCCAAATCAACCAAATTATAGCAATTTACGGGAGATATTTCCTTGACCCTGCAGTGAATTGATTTGTAACATTTTCTGGGTTTATCGAAAAAACCTCAGTCTGATCTTGGTGACTTAGTCTGGAAAAATTCAATTTTCTGATGGTTATGTACTAAACGATTCCTGCTTAACTTACCCACGTGGAGTAGGATATCTGTAATTAGAGAATGATGAAGGCTTTCCACTTCTACCTCTGGGATGCATACTTCGATATCCTGGCATTCTCATACCTAGAACAAGTGAGGGCAAAGATATTAAAATTTGATGCATTGAAAGAACTTCAAAATGGATACGTGACAAAATTGACCCAACTCAGAGAACAAAAATGTTGAGCAGAAGTATCATAGGGTGGACACCTCGAAAATAAAATACGGATGTATGTTGCATTTAGGGCTGTGCGAATATTCGAAAATCTCGAATATTCGAGTTCGAATAATTTTTCCAATATTCGATTCGAATTCGAACTTAGAAATCTCGAATAATCGTTATTGGGGAACATTGACAAAACTTCGAATATCTAAAGAAAACGACCGAATACTCGTACATTCGGGCATATTGATGACATACCAGAAAGAACTCAAACAGGCTGCGCAGTTCAAACTACTTGTTTTGAGGTTAGGTAAACAAAGGCCAACGTTTCAGTGGTTCATTCAGCGCACGGCACTCGCGGACTCGCATTATTAGACGGGTCAATTCAAATTCGCGCTACTTGAGACGCGTTGTTAAAGTTAAAAATTGAAGTCAGCGAAATGACAACAGTCCGCCATTTGTAGTTATCCGCTCAGCGATGATGCAAACTTGTTAGTAAACAAAGGCCGCCATCTTCTCAGCAAAACTGGTAAGCGCCCTGGGAACCCGGCTGAGCGCTGAGCGATTTTGCTGAGAAGATGGCGGCCTTTGATTACCTCTGCGGATAACTCAGAAAACGTTTAACAACACTTCGGCTGAGCTCAGCCACTCAGCGGATAACTCAGCGGTTGCACTTCTGACTTTAACAACGCGTCTTTGAGTTCCACCGAATACGTCATCAACATGGCGTACAAATGGGCGAATGTACTGATCTCCATAACCTATCCTCCTCCGCCTCGTGCGGCACCCTGGTCTTAACAATGTTGCTGGACTATCTTTGCAAGATCAGCATTGATGTGCAGTAAAACAGAATAAAATGGATTTTCGGACAGTAAGCAGCAGTTTTACTGTTCCGCCACAGTTCAATCAATTGCTTGTTTTCAATTAAAGGAAACAATTTTCTTTCCCTTCTATTCTTTCTCCAACAAATCAAAATGTATGCAAAACCATTTGATGATTAAATAAATTGATTAATTCTTGATCTTTTTATCTAAATTAGTAATTTCTTCATTCAAAATTTGAATTTTAGAAAGAAAAAAAATTATTTATTCAATTTTTACTTCGACTAACACAGAGGTTGGTTTTGGTCAAAATTAGATAAAAATTAAAAATATTCGATTCAATTTGATTCGAATTCGAAACTTTTTCAAAATATTTGATTCGATCCGATTCGACATAAAAAAAACCACATTCGCACAGCCCTAGTTGCATTGATTAAAGACCCACACCTCATGCCATATACATGAGTAATATGGAAACAATGCCCACCACGATATTACTAGCTAAATGCGAAAAATGCATAATTCAAATGCAACGCTTGAAAGTCTCTAACGTGACAAGGTGGAGAAATGATGCTGGGTCCACATCATTTCGCAGGGAAATCAAAGCCATGAAGTTCCAAAAATTAAAATTAGAGTCAAAAATACATTTTTTTAACTCTAGTGAGTACCAGTACAAAACTGAGAAGGGGGGGGGGGAGAGTGTTCAACTCAAGCAGTTTGCATTGGAATATTAAGTTGGAGTCACGGCCAGAGATCTATACTGGTTTGGGTGTTTTTAGACCTCATCAGAAGATCACACTCGTCAGTGAACCCAACTTAACATGCCGGCATTAGAATGCCGTCATGAATATGACCCGAGGCATAACATAAAAGTGGGATCTTTGCGCCATCTACCGTCTCTGCTGAAAAACTGTCATAACAAACAAGGAAAACCCGAAAATGTATAATTTTTTTCAAAGAAAACACATCAAAATGTTTTTAGTAACATGTGAAATTTTTTTTTTTTTTTTTTTGAGAATGAGTGAAGAAATTTCACAAAAAATTTCAACAGAAGCTGTTCCCCTTTTAAAAAAAAGGACACGGGCAAAGACTTACAGCATCGCAATCTGAGAGGCCAATTTTTGGACTTTCACCATTGATATCCTTAACTGGAGGAACAAAAAAAATGAGCATTTGCAAGACCCTCAAATAAATTTGAGCGTAAAGAGAGAAAATATTACCCTTCAAAAAAAAGAAGAAAAAAAAAGAAAAGAAATAGGAGCGTGAATTTACCTTTATCATAATACATGGGCATTCCAGGCCTAGGTGGTCCGGGTCCGTACTGCATTGGTATGATGGGCAGAGAATATCCTGGAGGAGGTCCATTCACTGAAAATAAATACATAAATTTATTGATGGAAATGATGGCTCGTTAAAGACAAGCAGTTCCTGGGACTTCATTTTAAATTTTGGCTAATCTAGTTTGTGAAATCCAATAACTCAAAATTAGAGGACCCATTC